AAGTGTGAAATTTATAGAGATTACTAATATGTCTTTTAAAAATAAAACCAAATTTCATGCTTTAAAATAGATAATGCTTCTGATGAATGATGATTAAGTAAATATGTCAATTTGATGATAATTTAAATACTCCAGTAATTTTTAAAAACAAAACCATCACGGAAATCAAAGTTTCAAAGTGGATTAGATGATAACAAATAATAGCACAAATTTTTATTTTCAAATATATAATTTCAAATTTCATTATCATCAATTTTATTAATATAGTAATTTAAAATTAATAAAAAATAATTAACATATCACTAATTATGACAACAGAAGGTTAAAGGAATAAACCAAATTAAATGGAGTAGTTACCGTATTTTGTGCTCAGAATTTTCAAGTTGGTAGTAGTATGGGATCCAATCCAATGTTAAGTAAGATAATATTTATAATTTATTCTTTTAGTTTGGCAGACTTTCGGTCCGGGTCCGGGTTCGGTTCGGGTCAAATGTTTTGGGTTTAGTGCGTTGGTTACAGTCGGCATATTTAAGCAGGTGCGTGCGCAGCGCTTTGAACGAGTTCAGTGAGCAAGCAGCATGAACGGTGCGATGTGGAGGGTGGTGAGCAGAGGCAGTTCGTTGATTTTCCATTCGAAAAAACGGAATGCTCTCTCCGTTACTGCTCGTGCGTTTTCCGCTCCCACCGGTCTCTATGGCTTGCCTCATTTGAAGACCGCAAAAGGCTTTCAATCCTTCGTCGATGAAGCCATTCAAAGGTATCTATCTTCCTCACGCAATTAATGTATTGCTACTGTTTAAACTGATACTTATGCATGTGTGTGTTTCAGCGTTTGTATTGTGCCAGGTTTGATATAAGTTTATTATGCATGTAACTGTGTTAAATTGTTATAATTCATTGTACCGCCTAATTGTCGAGCGTATGTACTTTATAAATGGGCATTTGTTTCATTGTTTAATCTATATAAGGTAAAGTAGTCTACACTTAATTACTATTGCTACTGCTATAAATTTGATATACGATCACTCCGTTCTTTTGTATGTGTTGTTTAAGGTTATGTTGTACAAACGAAGAATTGAAATTTTTTTTATTATGTATGTAAATTAGTTAAAAATTAGGTGAAGAGGAAGGATGTAATTGTCATAAGAGTAATTAACTGTGTCTTGACTTTTGAAAATGACAAGTGAATATAAAAAAAAAAAAACTTTCCTAGATTTGATACAGAGCGAGTGTATTGAAACAATTTCTCTCATTATGCACTGACGTCTGTGAAATTGTTGATAATTTTCTGTAACGGTCAATTGCTGCACTCATTTCTATCTGGTTGTAATGATAAATGCACAATTGTTTTGTTGGTTAACAACCAAAGTGTTAAACAGTTGCACTTGCTCATGATGACTGTTACTATTAATGGTGCCATAACCACATGGTTGATTTTTATTTTTGTGGATTGCTAGGTCTGGAGAACTCATCAGTTACATTTGCAAGAAACAGCCCGCTGGTGAAGTAATGCGGGCAATGGATGAGATTTCTGACACTGTAAGTTATTCTAATGAGAATAACCGAGCATGGTGGTTGATAAACTCCCACCAATTTTGTAGATTTGGAAGCTTGGTGCTATGAATTGGATGTTTTCAAAATTTACATTGCCTTTTTTTAAAACTCATGTTTAGATGATTAAGTGGTGTCATGGGAGATTTTAAAACTACTCCTCTGTTTGTTNTTTTCTTGAAAAAATAATTGCAGGAGCGTTTGACAGTTAGCAAGGACCTAAGAGTTGAGCAAAGCTTTGAAGATCTTGAAAGTACTTTTGTAGAAGGGGAAAAATTCAGCTTTGATGTTGTACTTAAGTTTAAAAATTAAATTGAATTATTTGTTTAAATTTTATCTGAGATTTTGTTCTTTCAATGTGATAGTTTTTTTATTACCAAATATGAATTACTATAAAATATTGCTCTATGAAAAGAAAATATATCTTAAAAATCTCTCTCTTAAAGTATAGAAAAAGTTTTTTTGCTTCTAAGTCTAGATTCCTGCATAATTTAATGTCTAATTCTATTCTTTATGCCATATTTTTATGTTTATATTGAACATAAATTTCAGTATAGTTTAAAGTTGCAATATACCGTTACACCATATTAATTGAATGACCCAAACTTAACTAAATACTTAAAATAATAGATAAAATTATGAACCAAAAGAGCATTTCTTACTATAGGGTTAGATAATCATATCTAATAATAATCAATTTAGTGTGATAAAACATAATGAAGTCAAAGTGTGAAATTTATAGAGATTACTAATATGTCTTTTAAAAATAAAACCAAATTTCATGCTTTAAAATAGATAATGCTTCTGATGAATGATGATTAAGTAAATATGTCAATTTGATGATAATTTAAATACTCCAGTAATTTTTAAAAACAAAACCATCACGGAAATCAAAGTTTCAAAGTGGATAAGATGACAACAAATAATAGCACAAATTTTTATTTTCAAATATATAATTTCAAATTTCATTATCATCAATTTTATTAATATAGTAATTTAAAATTAATAAAAAATAATTAACATATCACTAATTATGACAACAGAAGGTTAAAGGAATAAACCAAATTAAATGGAGTAGTTACCGTATTTTGTGCTCAGAATTTTCAAGTTGGTAGTAGTATGGGATCCAATCCAATGTTAAGTAAGATAATATTTATAATTTATTCTTTTAGTTTGGCAGACTTTCGGTCCGGGTCCGGGTTCGGTTCGGGTCAAATGTTTTGGGTTTAGTGCGTCGGTTACAGTCGGCATATTTAAGCAGGTGCGTGCGCAGCGCTTTGAACGAGTTCAGTGAGCAAGCAGCATGAACGGTGCGATGTGGAGGGTGGTGAGCAGAGGCAGTTCGTTGATTTTCCATTCGAAAAAACGGAATGCTCTCTCCGTCACTGCTCGTGCGTTTTCCGCTCCCACCGGTCTCTATGGCTTGCCTCATTTGAAGACCGCAAAAGGCTTTCAATCCTTCGTCGATGAAGCCATTCAAAGGTATCTATCTTCCTCACGCAATTAATGTATTGCTACTGTTTAAACTGATACTTATGCATGTGTGTGTTTCAGCGTTTGTATTGTGCCAGGTTTGATATAAGTTTATTATGCATGTAACTGTGTTAAATTGTTATAATTCATTGTACCGCCTAATTGTCGAGCGTATGTACTTTATAAATGGGCATTTGTTTCATTGTTTAATCTATATAAGGTAAAGTAGTCTACACTTAATTACTATTGCTACTGCTATAAATTTGATATACGATCACTCCGTTCTTTTGTATATGTTGTTTAAGGTTATGTTGTACAAACGAAGAATTGAAATTTTTTTTATTATGTATGTAAATTAGTTAAAAATTAGGTGAAGAGGAAGGATGTAATTGTCATAAGAGTAATTAACTGTGTCTTGACTTTTGAAAATGACAAGTGAATATAAAAAAAAAAAAACTTTCCTAGATTTGATACAGAGCGAGTGTATTGAAACAATTTCTCTCATTATGCACTGACGTCTGTGAAATTGTTGATAATTTTCTGTAACGGTCAATTGCTGCACACATTTCTATCTGGTTGTAATGATAAATGCACAATTGTTTTGTTGGTTAACAACCAAAGTGTTAAACAGTTGCACTTGCTCATGATGACTGTTACTATTAATGGTGCCATAACCACATGGTTGATTTTTATTTTTGTGGATTGCTAGGTCTGGAGAACTCATCAGTTACATTTGCAAGAAACAGCCCGCTGGTGAAGTAATGCGGGCAATGGATGAGATTTCTGACACTGTAAGTTATTCTAATGAGAATAACCGAGCATGGTGGTTGATAAACTCCCACCAATTTTGTAGATTTGGAAGCTTGGTGCTATGAATTGGATGTTTTCAAAATTTACATTGCCTTTTTTTAAAACTCATGTTTAGATGATTAAGTGGTGTCATGGGAGATTTTAAAACTACTCCTCTGTTTGTTATTTTTTATTTTGTTTAGGCTATGTACACTGGTCTGCAATTTTACGCAAGAAATCCCAACAGTTAGGCATGGAGTTTTGTTAATATGCATGCTTATTTTTTTCATCTCTTGTGTTTCTTTTTGTTAGAGTGATGCTATATAGTTATGTTTTTTAAGTTATTGGTCATGGGTTTGTGCTTTCTTTATTTGATGAATTTCTGGTTTTATACAAACACATTCTTGCATGTATATGTGTGCTATTTTTATTATTGATCATGAATCTTAATATTCACAATATGGTTTTGTGATTCAAAACTAGGCTTTTTATTTCACACCTGGTATCCTGATTCAACTATCTTGAGAATAAGTACTTTACTTGTTTTATTCACTCTTTTACTCTATCGTATGCATGTATTGCAATTTGCATGCTTCATTTCGCAGGTATGCTCTGTTGTTGACTCTGCTGAATTGTGTAGGCATACCCACCCTGACAGGTTCTCTTCTCATTACCATTATTATTATTATTATTTTAGCTTCTTCCCTGTCAGGATAGTGTTGATACTTAACATTTATAATTCGTTATAAATAAGATATGTTTGTTATTTAAATTATATTTTAGATTTACAATAAACAATTGAAACTCTGATATAAGTTTCTTTTAACTATTGTCAGTTTCTTTAAAAAATATTATTGAATTCAAAGATGGAGATAAAGGAAGATAGATTAAAAGAGACAGGCAAATAGAATTGACTATACAAGGATAATAGTTTGAGAAAGAAACTTTTTGGTTAATGCACCTCTGAAAGAGAGCAAAATATATTGAGAAACTCTGTTATAGAGAATGAGAGTCCTACACTAAAAGTTGTGAACTCCAATTTATAAAATAGAGTAAATTTTTGTTATTATTATTATTATTAGTGGTTGTAGTAATTGGCTTCTGTTTCTAATTAATGCACATTGTTGTTTTTTCTATTGTAAATGACTGATGAAATCTTTGGACATCGTATTTTGTAATGCTTCTATCATGATTGAAGTTATGTTTCTGTTTTTTTTTGGGTAAATCAGAGAGTTTGTTGAGGAGGCCAGCAAGGCATCGATGAGAATTAATGAATATCTACATGTGAGGTGACCGGTGATGCTCACTGCTTGTTTTTCCTTATATTTGTTGTTAATTAACTTAACAAAAGCGTAGCCTAAGAAAAATGAAAAATTATGTGCTGTGGTTGTTCTGTTGCATAAAGTGTTTAAAGTTTGAGTGTGTGCATGAGCATAGCCATGTACTTTGGTTACATGTTCCTTCTATGTTCAGAAACTCACTCTACTATTAGTGAAAATTTACTCAAAACTGCAGATAATTAGTGAACCTAGTCAGATGACAGGAGTGGACTCACAATTTTGTGATTTCGAGTGAATTTCAATCAATGGGATTGTGTTCTAAAGGATATGTTTGAAAGTGTATTGCTATCTTTTCTCTGTAAGATATTTTCTTTATATTTGCCAGAATGGGAAAGAAACATCTCTTGAACTTTTTATAGTCCCACAATTCTGAAGGCAAAGATCACATTTTAATTATTTTTTGTTGTTGACGTTAAGTAGCATTATTGAGGAAATAGAATAACAGTACGGGGTAACTATGATATTACTTTTTAATTTATCTATCATTGTCCATGTTTTTATTGTTGTGGACAACAAGTTTGATTTAATAGAGGAAGGAAATATGATCTCTATGGCATTTGGTTAGGTTGTTGGAGGGATTATTATCTGAATTGAATTGGATCAAATGCTTATTTGCTGTGAAGTCTATATGTTAGGTACTTGGGTTTGGAACCTAACAATAACACTCACTTGATGCAGATAAAAGAGATGAAAGAAAGAATTCTCTTATTCACACTGTAGAATCGTCACTCTACAAAGGATGGGTTGGGAGCATAACCTCCTGGTTGAGAGTATAACCTCCCTCTACAGGCTAAAGACCTGACTTTACAAAATATACTTGATGCCCTCTACATTACAAGAGCTCTATTTATAGCAGCTTTGACCCGCTCCCCCTTTACAACCAACACCCTCACACCCTTAACTGCTCAGTCCTCAACCCAATTTATCCTAACATCCTAGATCCTAACACTATATGTAAGCAATATAATGGCATTAAGGACAAAATTATAGCTGGTTGGAAATGCTGAAGTAATACAGATTTGTTATGTCTGGCCTTAAAGCCTGAAGAAGCACTTTAAATTGAAGATGAGTGCATGTAAATCTTTAATCAAGACAGAAATGAGTGTAGACTTCAGAGTTGATTAGCAACCAATTTGACATCACACAACCCACTAAACCAAAAAGTATAGTATTTGATTAAACTTGCTAATCAATCACGATTTGAGAAAAAAATAATGTGGGAAACTTAATCTTTGAAGATCTGGTCTTCACTGTAGTTCTATAAATAAGATGCAGACATTATATCAACAAATGAGAAAACTCAGCTTACACAGCTATAACTCCAACACCTGTGCTCATTATTTTCTCTTTTTGCTATGTAGTATCTGAACACGAATCATGATCTATATGACGCAATTAAGAAAGCTGAGCAAGAATGTCACATGCTTTCTGAGGAAGCTAAGAGGGGAGTTAGAAACTTACGTGCTGACTTTGAAAGGGGTGGAATTAATCTCTGCTCCGGTAATTATTTTAGTCTGAATTTCATCTTTTACTCACAATAAAGATGTAGGGAACCTTTTATCTCTAAATTGTTTCTTATGCGTTGCACTTTCTTTGCAGGGAAATTAGATCAAGTGAACACGCTAAATATTGAAATTTCTCAGCTATGCAGAGAGTATGTTTATAACTGAGTATTCTGTTGCTTGTTATGAAAACTGAATAATTTTCTTTTATAGTGAAAGCAGTTTGTTCCCTGGACATGAATTTATATTTCTACTGTCTTTTCCCCTTATTTTTTTTTTTATTTTGGTAAACTTGTGCCATGATGTCAGAATCCCTAGATGTTATGACTGCAATTAATATTCTCTCAAAGGTAATACTGTTGCATGTTTAAAATATCAGGCTTACTATTTTATGCTGATTAATGATGTCTCCACAATTTATTGGTTTGGTTAGGTACAATGAGAATATTGTCATGGACCCAGGAACTGTTGATATATATCCTTCTTCTCGCATCCCCAGGAATTTGCATTATCTTGTAAAGCCTATACATCGGTCGGTATCATTAATAACCAAGGATTTATCAGGGTCTAGGGGCATCCTCAAAGAGAAAGGATTTGGATTACAACAGACCCACAAAACTGTTTCTTCTGTACTACAATTTTCATCTGATGATGGAGGTAGTTTCTATTCGGTGTATTTTTAAGTTACAGGTTTAGTTATTGGTACTAGTAGTAAGAATTACTCACAAGTCCTATTAAGGACTGTGCAATAAATTCATTTGAACATAAAGCATTTGTAATCACATCTCATCTTCTAAGCAATCTAGTATTAATACTCTAGTGTACTCGCGATCTGTTGGTATTCTCACCCACTTTTTATAAAAAAAAGTTAATGGGTATAAAACTCAATTGCACAGATAAAATTCTGCAGAACTCAAAGGGGCTGGCCTTTTAATGCCCAAAGGCTCTCGTTTCCTCTCAATTGAGAGGATAATGTCTCTCTTAACCTACGTTTTAAAATTGGACTAGATTGGCCAAATAAATAAAATAATCAGGGAACTGGTCATGTTAATCCATTTGAACCTCAGAAATGACGTCAAAAACTGGCAAATCTGAGTCAAAAAGCCCAGTCTAAAAATTATTTTATTTTAATAGTCTCAACTTAAAAAACGTGATAGTTGAATAGACTTAACATTATTGCATTTTCAAACATTTGAGGCCTTAACTAGTGTGAAACATTAAGACTTGGAATGCTTAATATGGAGTTGTTATATATTTTTTATTCCCACATTATAGTTTTTGTAAAACCATTATTTTATTTCTAGTAGTTTGACCATTGAACCTTTAAGTAGTACTTTAACCTGTTCAATAATAACTCAATTTTAAAAATATTGTTCTAACTTCCCTCTTATTATCGGCAACTTGCTTTATTTCTTCAAGCTAACTTGCTTAATACTGTAATTAACTAATGGACATCTGTCAATTTATCTTTGTATTTTAAGGTTAGGAAAATGGTATATATACGAGGAAATTCTGTTCCACAGGCAAATGTTGATGTCTCAAAAGGCTTATATCTGCACGACATGAGCTAGCTCAGGTCTTTATCATCATGAGGCACACCGACTCATTTTAAGCACTTTTGATTTGTGCCATAACATAAGTTTTCTCTCTCTTATTCTATGTTACTGTTTGATGCAACATGTTTTCTGGATCCCCATCATGCATTTGTATGCTTCTGTAAATTTTGAATCAGCTGTTACTTTCTGTTTTTGGGTAGAGATGAATTTTATTTAGGAGGAAGAGAATAGTTTGTAGAAAGAGAATCTCAAGAAAAGAATACAAATTGGGAGACTAAAACATAAGAGATTGGATTTGGGGAATGTGTAACATTGTGTTAGGTTTTATGAAATAGTAGAGAGATTAGGAGAATCTCCCTTCATGTGTTTAGCATACACATAGGGTAGTTTATTTATAATGTAGATAGGGTTAAACCCTAAATACAAATGGGCTTAGCCCATTAACATAAACACACAACTTAACATTTAACACTCCCCCCTCAAGTGGCGCATATAAATCTATTTTCCCAGCTTGTTACAAAGATAGTCAATTCTAGGTCCTCGTAAGGATTTGGTGAATATGTCCTGCAACTGGTTTGCTTGAGTTAATGAACTCAGTCTTGATATCTCCGGATCTGATTTTTCTCTACTAACAGACCATCACTTCAATGTGCTTTGGTTCTCTCATGGAAGACAGGGTTAGAGCTAATATGGAGAGCCCAGCTTGATTATCAATATAAGTGTCATGCGATGTGACATTTCCAAAATTCAATTCACTAAGTAATTGTTTAGCCACACATTCGCAGTGAGGCAGATGCCATAGCTCTATATTCTGCTTCTGCGCTGGACCTTGCCACAACACTTTGCTTCATACTTTTTTCCAAGATATCAGGTTGCACCAATAGAGCCACATTCCAAAGTAGACCTCCTATCAGAAGGGAACCAGCCCAATCGCATCTGAATAGTCAACAATTTTTGTATCGTTTGTAGGGCCATATAGCAAACCCTTTTCCAGGTCTTCCGGGATCCTTTAATATACTTCAGTACGCGTAACAGTAAGATAGTTTCCTTTACAACTATCTTCTGTATCGTCAGGATCTGAGAAAAAAAGGCTCCCCTGATTTGGGAGGAGTTTGATGTTAGGACCATAGGTGTCTCAACAGATTACATTCATTAACCCGTTTCTCCAAGATGTCTAATGCATATTCCTCTTAGATATGCCAATACCATCATGGATTGGGCTACTTCAATACCCAAAAAGTACCGGAGTTTGCCAAGATCTGTGGTTTGAAAATGATGACAAAGGTGTTGTTCATCTTAGAGATTTTCGAGATATTCCACTTCCTGTGAGAACAATATCATCGACATACCCATTAAGTAAGATACATCCAGCCTTGGAGTGACGATAAACACTGAATGATCCGCTTCATTGCGAGACAATCCAATTGGGGGGGGTTGAAAAACAACCAACTGAATTTACCAAACCAGCCCGAGGAGACTGTTTTAAGCCATATAAGGAAGTGCGAAGACGACTACATCCACATGACTCCCCCTGGCAACAAGCCAGGCGGTTGCTCTATAAATTTCTTCATTCAAATCACCATTAATGAAAGCATTTTTTGACATCAAGTTGGTAAAGAGTCCATTTCGAGAGGCGGGCCCATGGCAATGAATAGCGAACACAGGTCTTTTTGCCACTGAGAAAAAGTCATATCATAATCCAAACCAAAAACTGTGTGTAGCCTTTGGCAACCAGTCGAGCTTTCCCGACGATCATTGTGCCATCAAGGCCAACCTTTGACAGCATACACCCACCTGCACAACAATAGACTTTCAGATTGTAATTGGACAAGCTCCCAAGTTCCACTTTTCTGTAAGTACTTAATTTCCTCCAGCATAAGCTTGACGCCAGCCAGGATAGTTAAGGCATCACCAAATTTATGAGTGACACAGAAAATGGATGAGAGACAAGTTGTAAAAGATGGAGATAATCTGTGGTTATTATGAACAGTACAAAAAAAAAAAAAAAAAAAAAAAAAAAAAAAAAAAAAAAAAACCCCCCCCCCCCCCCCCCCCCACCCTCCCCCCCCCCCCCCCCCCCCCCCTCCTTTTTACAAATGGTTACGGGTAGATGTGTCCCTTTACGGACTGGCAATAGGCCCATCATACTCATTTTCTTGCTCCGGAGAGACACAGGAGGCGACACTGGTAAGTAGTCATGAGGGAGACCATTGCGGATACTATAAACCTGAAGGTTGGTGGTGAAGGACGATCCTGTTGTTATGAGAGTCTAAAGAAGGAGGAGACACATGGTGGGAGCATCACCAGGATGATCACAGATAAGAGGAATATCACAGTAACAGGGAGAGTACAGAATTAGAAGACAGATTTGTACAGTAAAAAGAATCATCAAAAGTGACATCAGCAGAGATAAAATGACGATTGAGGGAAGGGGAAAACCGTATAGCCCTTTTGTTACCCGTGGAAATCCTAGACGACACATTTGTGAGACCTGGAGATAACTTTCAAGACCAGGCCTAAAAACATGAACAAAACATAGTAGACCCCAAACCTCTACGGGTAATATTTAGAAGGTCTTGAGGAAATAAGATAGAATGAGGGATTTTGTTATCTAGGACGGAAGATGGCATGCGGTTGATAAGATAACATGCCGTTGAGAACAGCATCACCCCAAAAACGTGAGGGTACTTGACCATGAATGAGAAGGATACGAGTTGTTTCAATAAGGTGTCTATTCTTGCGCTCACAAAATTGACTTTTAAGGTGAAGTTTGCTCTCCCTTATATATTTTAAACTGGTCCTTTTCACTAATCGATGTGAGATTTCAATAGTATGGGATTTCCCCCCTTTTTTCTTAATATAAATAAAGCACGTGCTGATTAAGAAACACACTCACTGAAGTGTTTCTGTATTCTCTAGAGTTGAAAATTCAAAGGTATCTCTATAGGATAATGGGCAATGAGCTAAAATGGATTTACAAATAAATACACCTGAGGAGACAAGCATCCCATTCTTTATCAATATCAGAAGCAAAATGGAACAATTATAGTAAAGCGTACAAGACTTTTGCCCACTGATAATAGAATTGGTTTGGTATTTCTGTTTTTGATGAATTATACTTGGAAAAGGGGTTTAAGAGCTGACTATTACTTTCTGATAGTGAGTGTTGGTGTATAATTATAATTTTGGTTACAAATCATATTATTTAAATGCTACATGTCATAATTACTATTAAAAAAGAAAAATAAATTATAGGGTAATAAATCTGCACTAATGGAAACTGAAATAATGAAATCTATGGTATGCTCCAACAATTGAGAAAGGTTTGAACTCTCTTAGGTCAAAATTTTATTTTTCAAATAAAAAACTGTAGGATGTTTATTTGTCTTACTTTGCCTTGATGATTTTTGTAGTAATTTAATGACAGCTATTTTTTTTTTTCTATTTTGACTTTATAAGAATGATTTTTCTGTGTGATCATTTGATGTAGATAATGGGGTGTAGTTCTTATACTGAATTTTCTATTAAGCCTAACATGGCCTTTATCACCAAAAGTTGTATGGTCATTTTACTCGAAATGAGCAGATGGTCAAGCCTAATAACCTAGAGATGTATAGATCCTTCAAGGCATACTTTTCTTGGGCTGAGGGTGTAATAGCTAAAGTTGCTTGTGCCTGTAACTGAGAATTATTCCTTTTACTTATCTTATGATCTTAGGAGCATAGGTTACTCACGAAATTCAAGAGAGAAAAATGTGGTCAAAGTGATGGAGATTTAAGGCCATGGGATGAGACCTATTACATGACAATGATGAAGTCCTCTGCTTATAAATTGGATGCTTCGGTAAAATGTGACATGTTTTGTTTGTCATCAATACTTCTACATATCCATGTTAGTATTTTTCATATAAATCCAAAAATCATGTATGCAGGTTGTAGTTCCTATTTTTCTCTCTCAAACTGTATTGAGGGTTTGAAGGTGCTAGTGCAGTCATTGTTTGGTGCAACCTTTCATAGCATACCTCTAGCACCTAATGAGTCTTGGGATCCACATGTGCTTAAACTATCTCTTCATCATCCCGAAGAGGTATTTTGTGCAAAGAAATTTTTATGTCATACATTATTTTGCTGGAGTTTTAACTTTGTATGAATTTGTACTTTTGAATATGATTTCTATTTGATTTTTGGGCCATTTCAGTAGTTTTTTGCTATAATCTTAAAATCAAGGGTTCAGTTATACATTTCTACCTTTGTTTGAAAAAAATGTCAGCTCTCCGACCATTGCCATTACCTTCTTTTTGCTTATACTAAATGGGAGAGCATATCTCATGTTTAGGTGCACAATCACACAACTAACAATAGTCAATTGTGTTATCAGAATTGTTACTACTAACATAAGATCATATACCCTAGCTTCTATTTCTCATCTGAAAATATAAAAGGAGAAATCTATTTATTAATTTAGCAAAAACAGGACTTTCACAAATTACAGAAATACTCTCATGCTTCTTACACTTTCCATCATTTTCTTTTAGGTTTAATCATTTTTTAGGTCCCTATTTATGCAGAAAAGTCTCAATTAGATCCTTCAATTATTTTTTAACTCAATTAGGTTCTATTTGTATAAAATTGATTCAATTACACCTTTGTCGTTAATTTGAGTGAACGGCGTTAAGAATGCACTCTAGTAGCATGCTGACTTTGCAAATCTGAACATGTGGCACATTGAGAATGATAGTGACGTGGATTTTGTAATTTTTAAGTTTAAAAAATTTTGAATTTCATTCAATCCCTAATTTGTCAAAATCCAAATCCCTAATTTGCCAAAATCCCTAATTAAAGGTGCTTGAGTTTTTCGAAGTTGTTTACAAAATCATTTTTTCACTCCATGCTGTTGCGAAATGTCGTTTCCTGGAACTCCATCATTGTCGCGTGCGTCCAAAATGATGACCTCGATGACGCATTTCGCTACTTCGCAGTGGCGTCGGGGAAGAATGCCTCGTACAACGCCGTGATCTCGGGACTAGCAAGGTTCAGATGTGTGAGGAACGCGCAAAGGCTCTTCGAAGAGATGCCGCATCCGAATGTCGTGCGTAAATTGCCATGGTGGATGCGTACGCCAGGGTAGAGGGTGCGATTTGGCGCGCGAGGGCGTTATTCAAAGCTACGCCTCATAGAAACGTGGTATTGTGGAATGTGATGATCAATGGGGGGTTGCTGGAGAATGGGTTGTATGAAGAAGCACGAGAAGTGTTCGGGAGAATGCTGCAAAAGAATGATGTGGCGAGGACCACTATGATTAATTGGTTTTGTAAACAACATAAAATGGAAGAGGCCAAAACTTTGTTTGAAGAGATTCGATGCAGAGATCCCAACCCCAAAATTGTTTCCATTCTTCGTAGTTTTTACAAACACCCTTTAATTAGGGATTTTCTCAAATTAGGGATTTAATAAAATCCCAAATTTTTTTCATTTAAAAATTACAAAACCCACGTCTCTAACACCCTCAATGTGCCACATGGTTCATATTTGCAAAGTCAGCATGCCACATGAGTGCATTTTTAACACCTTTTACTTAAATTAATGGCAATGATGCAATTGAATCAATTTTACATGAATAGGGACCCTAATTGAGTTAAAAAATAATTGAAAGACTTATTTGAGACGTTTCTGTATAAATAAAGACCTCGAAAATGATTAAACCTTTTCTTTTATTTCTTCTTTCTCAGTCAAAACTCAATTTTGTCACACTCTAAAGTAAATTGATGTTTGGCCTTCTGCATCAAAGTATAGTTGGGAGGAGTGGTAATTCATAATGTCATTTTTTATTACTTTCACCCATTCTCTCTTTGAGCTCCTTTAGTTTTCTTGCTTTCCTAATGAAATATTTCTGCTGTCCTATTATTTTTTTTTTCTACCAAGATATTATATTTTTTGGACTTTACTAAATTTATGTATTGCCAAAGACACTGATACTCAAACTCATTTCAGGGTGACTTGGGATATTTATACCTCGATTTATACTCGAGAAAGGGAAAATATCCTGGTTGTGCTCACTTTGCAATAAAAGGGGGTCGCAGAATTTCTCAGACAGAATACCAACTTCCAGTATGTGAAAATTTTCTTATACCCAGTTTCTTACTCTAATTAAGGTAGCTAGCTAGAAATATAGTTTTCTCTTTATGTCACACGTGTAGTTCCTTTTATGTGAAGGTTTTCTATTCCATTTTTAACGAGGTCTAATATTAGTGAAAAGAGAAGAGATGCGTCATCTTCTGGTGGAAAAATGTGATGCTTGGTGATGTGACGTGAGACTAAGGGAACACTATTTCACTAATTAACAGGAACTGTTCAACACCTAGGACTTTCATAGCCCTATATTTATGCTACATGATAGAAATTAGTCAAGTTTTGCATACAAAGTAACCTCATTTTTTCTCCACTGTTTTGACGCCACATTTTCCCTCCACTGTTTGTAGGTTTCCTCTCTATTTATGTGGTGGTTATGTTTTCTTTATTTGTTAGTTATTTATTCTATGTTTGCAAACTCTATATATATAAAAGGCATTGCCATGCATTCTGGAATGACAATGATGAGCTACTGAATGAAAGTTTTAAGAAATTATCTTCCTTGTTCCATGCTTATGTGAGTGTGAGCTTTATTTAGTTTTTATAATGCCCCAATGTCAAATTAAATAGTATCAAAGGTTAAATCCAACATCGCTATTGTGAACTTGAGACAACGGGTGTGTAAATATAAGAAAATGAACAAAAATACAGTGCGTGTGTGTGTGTGNGGGTAATAAATCTGCACTAATGGAAACTGAAATAATGAAATCTATGGTATGCTCCAACAATTGAGAAAGGTTTGAACTCTCTTAGGTCAAAATTTTATTTTTCAATAAAAAACTGTAGGATGTTTATTTGTCTTTACTTTGCTTGATGATTTTTGTAGGTATTTAATGACAGCTATTTTTTTTTTCTATTTTGACTTTATAAGAATGATTTTTCTGTGTGATCATTTGATGTAGATAATGGGGTGTAGTTCTTATACTGAATTTTCTATTAAGCCTAACATGGCTTTATCACCAAAAGTTGTAATGTCATTTTTACTCGAAATGAGCAAGATGGTCAAGCCTAAGACTAGAGAGGTATAGATTCCTTCAAGGCATACTTTCTTGGGCTTGAGGGTGTAATAGCTAAAGTTGCTTGTGCCTGTAACTGAGAATTATTCTCTTTTACTTATCTTATGATCTTAGGAGCATAGGTTACTCACGAAATTCAAGAGAGAAAAATGTGGTCAAAGTGATGGAGATTTAAGGCCATGGGATGAGACCTATTACATGACAATGATGAAGTCCTCTGCTTATAAATTGGATGCTTCGGTAAAATGTGACATGTTTTGTTTGTCATCAATACTTCTACATATCCATGTTAGTATTTTTCATATAAATCCAAAAATCATGTATGCAGGTTGTAGGTTCATATTTTTCTCTCTCAAACTGTATTGAGGGTTTGAAGATGCTAGTGCAGTCATTGTTTGGTGCAACCTTTCATAGCATACCTCTAGCACCTAATGAGTCTTGGGATCCACATGTGCTTAAACTATCTCTACATCATCCCGAAGAGGTATTTTGTGCAAAGAAATTTTTATGTCATACATTATATTGCTGGAGTTTTAACTTTTGTATTAATTTGTACTTTTGAATATGAATTCTATATTGATTTTTGGGCCAAATTTCAGTAATGTTTGTCTATAATCTTAAAAATCAAGGGTTCAGTTATCACATTCTCTACCTTTGTTTGAAAAAAGAATGTCAGCTCTCCGACCATTGCCATTACCTTCTTTTTGCTTATACTAAATGGGAGAGCATATCTCATGTTTAAGTGCACAATCAGACAACTAACAATAGTCAATTGTGTTATCAGAATTGTTACTACTGACATAGGATCATATACCCTAGCTTCTATTTCTCATCTGAAAATATAAAAGGAGAAATCTATTTATTAATTTAGCAAAAACAGGACTTTCACAAATTACAGAAATACTCTCATGCTTCTTACACTTTCCATCATTTTCTTTTAGGTTTAATCATTTTTTAGGTCCCTATTTATGCAGAAAAGTCTCAATTAGATCCTTCAATTATTTTTTAACTCAATTAGGTTCTATTTGTATAAAATTGATTCAATTAGACCTTTGTCGTTAATTTGAGTGAACGGCGTTAAGAATGCACTCTAGTAGCATGCTGACTTTGCAAATCTGAACATGTGGCACATTGAGAATGATAGTGACGTGGATTTTGTTATTTTTAAGTTTAAAAAATTTTGAATTTCATTCAATCCCTAATTTGTCAAAATCCAAATCCCTAATTTGCCAAAATCCCTAATTAAAGGTGCTTGAGTTTTTCGAAGTTGTTTACAAAATCACTTTTTCACTCCATGCTGTTGCGAAATGTCGTTTCCTGGAACTCCATCATTGTCGCGTGCGTCCAAAATGATGACCTCGATGACGCATTTCGCTACTTCGCAGTGGCGTCGGGGAAGAATGCCTCGTACAACGCCGTGATCTCGGGACTAGCAAGGTTCAGATGTGTGAGGAACGCGCAAAGGCTCTTCGAAGAGATGCCGCATCCGAATGTCGTGCGTAAATTGCCATGGTGGATGCGTACGCCAGGGTAGAGGGTGCGATTTGGCGCGCGAGGGCGTTATTCAAAGCTACGCCTCATAGAAACGTGGTATTGTGGAATGTGATGATCAATGGGGGGTTGCTGGAGAATGGGTTGTATGAAGAAGCACGAGAAGTGTTCGGGAGAATGCTGCAAAAGAATGATGTGGCGAGGACCACTATGATTAATTGGTTTTGTAAACAACATAAAATGGAAGAGGCCAAAACTTTGTTTGAAGAGATTCGATGCAGAGATCCCAACCCCAAAATTGTTTCCATTCTTCGTAGTTTTTACAAACACCCTTTAATTAGGGATTTTCTCAAATTAGGGATTTAATAAAATCCCAAATTTTTTTCATTTAAAAATCACAAAACCCACGTCTCTAACACCCTCAATGTGCCACATGGTTCAAATTTGCAAAGTCAGCATGCCACATGAGTGCATTCTTAACACCGTTTACTTAAATTAACGGCAATGATGCAATTGAATCAATTTTACATGAATAGGGACCCTAATTGAGTTAAAAAATAATTGAAAGACTTATTTGAGACGTTTCTGTATAAATAAAGACCTCGAAAATGATTAAACCTTTTCTTTCATTTCTTCTTTCTCAGTCAAAACTCAATTTTGTCACACTCTAAAGTAAATTGATGTTTGGCCTTCTGCATCAAAGTATAGTTGGGAGGAGTGGTAATTCATAATGTCATTTTTTATTACTTTCACCCATTCTCTCTTTGAGCTCCTTTAGTTTTCTTGCTTTCCTAATGAAATATTTCTGCTGTCCTATTATTTTTTTTTTCTACCAAGATATTATATTTTTTGGACTTTACTAAATTTATGTATTGCCAAAGACACTGATACTCAAACTCATTTCAGGGTGACTTGGGATATTTATACCTCGATTTATACTCGAGAAAGGGAAAATATCCTGGTTGTGCTCACTTTGCAATAAAAGGGGGTCGCAGAATTTCTCAGACAGAATACCAACTTCCAGTATGTGAAAATTTTCTTATACCCAGTTTCTTACTCTAATTAAGGTAGCTAGCTAGAAATATAGTTTTCTCTTTATGTCACACGTGTAGTTCCTTTTATGTGAAGGTTTTCTATTCCATTTTTAACGAGGTCTAATATTAGTGAAAAGAGAAGAGATGCGTCATCTTCTGGTGGAAAAATGTGATGCTTGGTGATGTGACGTGAGACTAAGGGAACACTATTTCACCAATTAACAGGAACTGTTCAACACCTAGGACTTTCATAGCCCTATATTTATGCTACATGATAGAAATTAGTCAAGTTTTGCATACAAAGTAACCTCATTTTTTCTCCACTGTTTTGACGCCACATTTTCCCTCCACTGTTTGTAGGTTTCCTCTCTATTTATGTGGTGGTTATGTTTTCTTTATTTGTTAGTTATTTATTCTATGTTTGCAAACTCTATATATATAAAAGGCATTGCCATGCATTCTGGAATGACAATGATGAGCTACTGAATGAAAGTTTTAAGAAATTATCTTCCTTGTTCCATGCTTATGTGAGTGTGAGCTTTATTTAGTTTTTATAATGCCCCAATGTCAAATTAAATAGTATCAAAGGTTAAATCCAACATCGCTATTGTGAACTTGAGACAACGGGTGTGTAAATATAAGAAAATGAACAAAAATACAGTGCGCGTGTGTGTGTGTGAGAGAGAGAGTATATATATTAAGAAAGTGAGCTAGATAGAAACCTTAATTATAATGATTTGGAGTTGTTGATGACTAACCATTTAAAAAGCTCACAATATTTGGAGCTTCATTTACCTGAGTTACCTGACAGAACTAATGAAGAAAATCAAAGCAAGGACCTGTTTGCACTGTCAGAACAAGAAGTGTTCGTTGGATATTGAAAAAATTCAAAGGCATACAAACTACACTATCTAAAGACAAGAGAGTGATAATTAGTTGATATGGGACATTTGACGAAGAAGGAATATGGGATTGGACTCTGTGTCCCAAAACAGCTGCTGGTGTTTCCAAATGTTAATGTAGATCAAAAAGAGCAAACAAAATCAACTCTTGACAAGCCAGAGATATCTAGAAGATCGCAGAGGCAGCAAAGATAATGTGGCAAATTGGAGGATTATGTTGTGGGTACTGACAACAACCCATATGTTGTGGGTACTGAAAAAGGCTAGGGTAGCTATGGCAAGGCATTTTGAAATGACAAATTTGGGCCTAATGACCTATATTCTAGGCATTGAGGTCATTCATCAGGACAATGGGATTTTCATATCTTAAAAGAAATATGTTGTTGATATTCTAAAGAAGTTTAAGATGGAGAATTCAAAGTTAGTCTTCATTCCAGGTGAAGAGAGTTATGACAAGAGTTTGATTGGAAGACTCATATTTGTTCGCAACTAGGCTGGATATGGTATTTTATGGACTGCTTAGCAGATTTATGAAAGATCCATGTATGTGTCATTTGAAAGGAGCTAAAAGAATTCCACTATATACAACTGTGGGAGTTTTGCCTGCTAGTAATTGTGAAGTAAAACTTGTTGGCTATATCAATAGTGATTGGGCAAGACATGTAGAAACGAGGAGAGCATAGCAGGATATGAAAATCACCTTGGCAATGGTCTTGAATAAAAAACCAATTGTTGTCATCCCATTAGTCAAAGCACAATACATCATAGCAGCTATTTGTGCTACTCAAATAGTGTGATTGAGAGGAATTTTGGATGTAACACATTAGAAGCAAGATTCTCATTTGGAGATATTTTGGAACAAGTCTACAATTGCAATATGCAAAAATCTTGTATTTCATGGATGGTCTAAACACATCAATATTTTATTTCACAATATCTGAGAATAGAAGAGATTGGAATTTAATATTGTCCAACTGAAGAACAAAATGTAGATATATTGGTTAAACCTCTAAAAGTTAAGTTATTTTATAAATTGAATAAGAATTTAAGCTTGATTAAGAGTGGCTGTCAACTAACCTTGTTATTTTCTATTGTTTGTGGGTTTGCTCACCATTTAAGTGGTAATTATATTTTATTTATTTATTGTTGTTATTTAATGTATGCATTTTGTAATAACTTGGATGAATTATTGAATGAAAGTTTTAAGAAATTCTCTTATTCCATGCTTTTATGAGCATAAGGATCGTTTAGTTGTTATAATGTTTCATCAATATCAATGGGATATTATAGCAACTAAATAAAATTCATGCTCAAAGAAGCTTGGAGCATAGAAGAAAATTTCTTTAAAGCTTTTATTCAATAAGTCATTATTGTTGTCATTATAGAAGGCATGATAATGTCTTTATATAGGCTGCACAAAAATACATTAAATAATAATAAATAAAGAAAATATAACTGCCGTTTAAGTGGAGAGGAAACTACACATAGTCGTCAAAGATGAGGTGACTTGGTATATGTAAAGATTTTGCAAAACTTGTTTAGTTTCTGTTGTTACTAATTGAAGGCAAAAATACCCTTTACTTGGGATGCATAAGTTAACTAATGATGTATCCCATTGCCAATATGAATTACCTAATACTATACTATATGCTTGAATGGTCCTAGCAAACCTGTCAACAAAAACAATGAAAACGGATTAGATAAAAATCATTTCAACCAAAGAACTGAGGCAGTAGTTGTTTTCCTGAATTACAAAACATGAACAATCTCCAAGGACTGTTGCCCTGAATGCACATTTAAACCCACATTCAAGTTATTAAACTAGCATAATCATCTCATATACAAACTCAGTGACCACTCTCTTACTGCTGAAATTTAGTAAGGCAGGTGGACCTATAACGTGTCATCTATTATCTTTATTGTTTACTGGCCTCCAAAAAGAACATTGACCATTAAATGTTTTGATGACTTTACAAGAAAACCACTGAATAAGCGAGTTAAGAAACTAGAAATATGATTATAGACACCAACAGGTATAAGAATAAGGACTGAATTTTTTATTCCTCACAAGATGTTGAGAGCTTGGCCTCTCCCTTCCCGAAAACCACTTACCTAAAACTGTTTCCCCCCTCCTTCTGCTCCTATTTTTTATTCTGATGATAACTGCCTGCAGTTACGCCTGCCCTTACTAGTAACTGCTAAAACAATTCACTCCTACTAAAAAGCCTGAATCCTGGCTCTGCCCTTATAATATTTACTTATAAGGGGCCTAACACTTGAGTTGTAAGAAAACACTCTGAAAAAGACTAAATGATCTAAATTTTCCTGCCTTGATTGAAATAAAAATATGAAGAAGTCAGCCTAAATCATAACAGAACTGAATCTTATTTTTCTTATCATTTAGGTTCCGTTTGGAATGAAATTTAAAGGAATGTTACTATTTAGCCTTGTTATTGGCATATATTTGAAATGATCACAATATAGTTATTATTTTATTGCAAACTGTTATATACTTAAGTGGACTTCAATTATTTAAAAGCATAACTTGGTAGCCTGCTATGATTAGACATCTGCAGTTCATTTATCTGACACTATCAACTTTATGTGTTTGAGATGTAACTGAAAGGATGAGGTTATAACCTGGAGAACAGAGAATAAAAGGAATTTTTGATTTTGGATTGAATTAGGAGTGAGAGCCCTGGTCTCTTTCTTTTCTTATCTCTGTTATTGTATCACAAACATACAGGTTGAGGCAGATGTTCCTATCATTTTTTTATCCCATTCTATGAGAAACAATAGGAATTTATGAAACATAGGAAACATTAGAATGTTTTAGGTTATAGTTCAATTCTTTATAATTCTTGTGACAAATTGTGTTTTGCTATATGACCCAATATCGGCGTGGCATGTCAAAAACAACTCATGTAATTCATAGAAAACTCTCCTTATGTTTATTAAATTTTGTTCTCAAGTGTATATTTGTAGAAATGATGGTGAAAACAAATGTAAGCTTTTGTTACCAATAAACTCATGTTTAAGTGAACATAAATGCCATTCTTTATTGGCATCATTTTCATTTTCTACGTGAGTAATTGAATCTCAGTGCCCTTTCAGCAATTCTTGCCTATCTATGCACCATAAACTTTTATTTACCAAATTTGTGGTGTATTTATAATATTTTCGAACTGTACTTTTCTAGAGTTGGACATAACAGTTATTTTGAATTTCAAGAAAAAGCTACCATATTTTTATCTTGTCACCTAGCGTCACTAAAGTGTTTAAGGGTACTTAGGTAGTAAATTTAAGAATGAACTGTATAGGTTTTCCTAGACCTTTGTGTTATTGTTCAATGAGTTTTTTTCAGGAAGAAATTTTCCTCTTTTAGACAAATATAAATGTGCAATGCTCATTTTAAACATATTTTTCTGACTAAGTCACTGTATTCAATCAGTTTTTGCGTAAAGACATTTTCCTTTTTTAGACAAATATCAATGCACAGTGGTCATTTTAAACACAATTTTGCTGTATTCTCCTTGGAGGAGGCAGACTTCTTATTCTTCTTATTTATGCTTGATTATGATGATTTTGCAGATTGTAGCTCTCGTTTGTAACTTTCCGGGATCTCAAAATCCATCAGCCGTAAGACTCAATCATTGGGAAGTAGAAACACTATTTCATGAGTTTGGACATGCTCTTCATTCTTTGCTTTCAAGAACGGTATCTTCTTGAACTTGTGAAAAAATAGCAGCATTACACGATAAGGACAAAGCTGTATGATGTGTTAGAATCAAAGATAAACATTTGTGCAAGTTTGATTCACCATACAAATCAATTGTTGATAATATAAATAAATTATCAGTTTTCAAAGTTAACTACTTTTACTTTTGTATATCTCTACGATAATTGTGTTATAGTTAAGCTGTAAGGATGTCCAATCCCTTCAACATGTGATAATGTTGTAAAACCAATCCCCCAATTTTAGGGATTTGCAAAACCATTGGGAGTAATACTGTGTTTACATAACTTATATAAGATATTACCTATTTGGTTACTATTTGTTGGAAGTCTCACATTGATTAATGATAAGGCTAATTTACAGTATATAAGTGGATACAAACCTTACCGTACAAGTCGATTTTGTAGAGTTGAGTTTGACTTAAAATCCACTTTTTAACACTATTATAAATAATTACAATATATGAGAAATTTCATCTTATCATGTAAATAACAGAAATATACGTAATATATAAGATCTACCCCTACCCTTCATTCACAAGCTGACATATTGCAGTAATAGGCATTTTTAACTGACATACTGTAGGCCTTGATGATTCTTTGACCTTTATATAGAACTTGTGTAACAAAGAATCATCATCTTTGTATCATTTCATTTCAGTTAGATCAATAATATAAAAATATTTTTCTCCCTCTCAAAATTTAGTACTAATATTTGAAGTCATTTATTTTGTTGGAAGTTCCACATCGACTAGAAATAAGACCAATTTACAATATATAAGTGGATGCAAACCTCTCCTTCAAGTTGGTTTTGTGGGACTGAGTTAGGTTTAAAGTCCACTTTTTAACATGGTATCAGAGGCATAGTTTAAAGCATATCCTAACCAGATTTGTGTTTGTTGGACATATAGTTCCACCTGTTATTGGCCCCTATCGGACCACTCATTAATGTCTAGTCTCATGTTTGAGATGTATATACTTCAACCTGAGGAAAGTGTGTTGGAAGTCCTACCTCGACTAGAGATAAAATCAATTTACAATATATAAGTGGGTGTAAACCTCACCTTACAAGCTAGTTTTGTGGGGTTGAGTGTGAACATGAATTTAGCAAATTGAGTTAATCTTGACTAACGTAACATTTGTTTTAAAATCATTTTGAAGTTTGAATTATATGAACTCTCTTACCATCTTGTTTACTGAGCTAAAATACCTTAGCAAGCATTTAGTCATAATAAAAATCTTTGAAAAGTGGTTACTGCTGTCATTTTTGTAATGAGATGATTCCATGTTCTCATTGTAGGACTACCAGCACTTTTCAGGCACCAGAGCGGTTTTGGATTTTGCTGAAATACCATCCAACCTGTTTGAGTGAGTAGAATGCATCAAGAACTATATTCTTTAAGTCTTAACCCTTAAATACGGGTGGTAAATAAAATATAAAAGTTTTGGATGAATTGTTTAATTGAATGATACTCGCTTTGTGGGTGCCTAATTTTCTATGATACATGTACTTTGGTTTGATTTTTCAGAATTAAGCTAATATATTCTCAGCCTTGTAAAGCTATATTACGTTGGCCTCTTGAATTTTTTAATAAAACCCTGATTTTGTCGTTGGCATTCACCATCATCTTCAAGTGTGCCCCTGAAAGTTCGATTGTCCAAGTTTAACCATGACATTCAGATACTCTTTGATCTTCAATTGGGATCTGCAATTGGAATGTCAACATTCACCTGTACAAGATACTCACCTGTACAAGATGAGAAAGATGTCTTTAGAAACGTCATGTGGCATATTATACCCTGCAGGGCACTGGGGTAATGGTGAATATTTTTCACTTACAAGTGTCAACTCTACGTTTCTAACTCTCAACTGACATTGAAATTTGCTATAATTTTGTTTGTAGCTAAACACATAGACAAACTTAAATAAGTTGTTTTTAACGTTGGAAAATGACCTTAATTGTGGTCCTCCTAACCCACCTTAGCTTCAACGTCTTTTGAGGATGCCTTAATGGCAACCTTAGTTGGTGGTTTAGTTCTACATTGTCTAGAGATAGGGTTTAGATACAAAGCTTGGTTAAT